GTTTCCAAGTTATATTTCCTTGTTCACAAGTCATATTTCCTTGTTCACAAGTCATATATCCCTGTTCACAAGTCATATATCCTTGTTCACAAGTCATATTTCCTTGCTCACCAGTCATATACCCCTGTTCACAAGTCATATTCCTTTGTTCACAAGTCATATTTCTTTGTTCACAAGTCATATTTCCTTGTTCACAAATTATATTTCCTTGTTCACAAGTCATATTTCCTTGTTCACAAGTCATATTACATTGTTCACAAGTCATATTTCCTTGTTCACAAGTCATATTACCATCTCAATAATTGTCTAAATGGTATGTGCCTGCCTTTGTTCCAAATATAAACGCGTGTCGAAATGGGACATGACTGCTCTGTATACTAGAATAATAGAACACCGTGTGTTCTTGGCGTAACAAATGACAGGCATTTTATTCTGTTGAAACACCCTTTTGTAATACCGCATAATTTTTCATAGCTGCAACATAATCAATAGTCTAGTTGTTTAAGTAAATTCGTCTGTCGTTAATTAATTATGTTGACTCGTACTGAAATTTTAATGGGATGTGTATTGATTCTCTGGAGCCTATGTGGAGCCTAGGTCTGCTACTACACTTGTCTAGGTCCTGTTCGGCCGACTAGCTACATTTAGGCCGATGTGAGCCTCGCACTTTTGCTTCGCTGTATTACTCCTCCAAAGATGATCTTTAATATAGTTATAATAAAAAGTTAAGTTTCCTTTCGCACCTAGCCGACCATTTGGTAGGTGAAGTAAGCTTCAACTGTTTCTGTGACCCAGGCATGTAAAGGGATAGTGTGGCCAGCACTATACCCAGCCGACTTAGTCTTCTCTATAGTGAGTCAGGTACCCATCAGAGCTGGGTTAACTCGAGGACTAATCCCTACACCAAACTTTATTTTACCCCCCCCCTCCTCTCTCATGTGTGTTGCGGATAGAACTCTCGAGTAACAACTGTGTCATTAGTGCTGGTAAGTACAGGCGTCGCTAGGCGGGGGCGGGGGTGCGGACCGCACCGGGTGACACCATTTAGGGGGGTGACACCTAGACGAAAAAAATATATATTATTTTCTGTTTGGTGTGTGTAGTGGGGTGGGGTGACACCATAAAGTGCCGCACCGGGTGACACACGACCTAGCGACGCCACTGCTGGTTAGTCGCATGGGCCCTACAATAAGTTTTTAACCTGTGGTTACACACAAATTTAACCATGGGCCCTTCAATAAGTTTTTAACCTGTGGTTAAACTCAAGTTTAACCATGGGCCATTGAATAAGTAATTCCAAACACATTTAATCATGAGCCGTGGTCCTATCCCACTCCCAATACAACTTTCTTTACTATCTTTTTTTTTTGTTTGTTAATGCGGGAGAAATGTAGTTTAACTGCTCCAATAATTCTATAGACATTTGCCGCCAGTGTATGTTTACTTAGGACTTTGTTTGCTTGTATTGTATAGCCTCACCTCACCCCACCCCACCTAACACACACACACACAAACACACACACTTACGTATCCATTACCACAAAGCATGCCTGGAATCTACAACTCCTTTATTACACAGAAGGCTACAACGTTGAGACAGAGAATGTCATGATTGTCAATGGCTATTGCCAGGAAAACGTTCGGAATATTTCGAGGTTAAAGTATAGGAACCGGCCACACTAGCTATATGAATAAATTGATCTGGCTTTTTTTAAAGATAAAAGTACGGTTTAATTTAAAGATATTTAATACGTTTAGCCAGGCCTGCTCTAGAGATAACAAAAAAAAAACACGGAGAATATCAATGGAGAAAGAGTTGAAGGTAAAAGGCCAAGCATTCCGACATGCAGAGGTTATAGCTAGAGACAGGATAAAATGGAGCTCACTTGTTGATGCACCGTGCGCTCATGAAGCAACGAGAAGTTTAGATGATGAATGTATTCTATTTTTAGATATTTTTTATGTTCTTTTTTATGTTCTTTTTTTTTTTTTTTTTTTTTGTAAGTGTAATGAACAAATTAGGGTCGCGTGATAAAGAATGAACTGATAGAAAAATAGGACGTGTGTTACGGATTAGTATCACCTTAATAAAGAAAAGAATAGTCCAAAGTACGCGTCGCTCAATTTCGTGGTTTCAAGTTAGCCGACTTTGAGTTGTTGGCATCAGTGTTTTACCTGTCACCCCTCGGTGAAGATTTTCTGTGTCAAAAAACACGCAGGGCCCGCCACCCACATCACTTATCGTGGCCGTCTTATCAGCCTCACCTTATCGCCTCCCATGTAAGGGGCCGGCACAATTCTTACATAGCCGACACATCTTAGAGGCCGCTAAAAATACAACCGAATAAACCAAAGAGCGTTCAAATCACAGGCGTATTCAGTGGCGGCCCTCGGTCGGGTGTCACGCGGTGCCGCCCCCCCCCCCACACACCGCGACCCCTCACTTGCTCCGCCTCTGGGTGTAGTCAAATAGAAGTAATTCATCTGATAGAGCCAGAGGCGTAGTGACCCTTCCCGGCGCCCGGGGACAAACTTTTCGATTTGCACCCCCCCTCCTCAAGATTTCCATTTGCACCACACCCTCAAACTTTTGATTTGCACCCCCCCCCCTTCAAGATTTTGATTTGCACCCCCTCAACCTTTCAATTTATTTTTCCAACCCATTTTGGCGACCCCTAGGGTCGGTGCCCGGGGACATATGTCCCCCCCCCCCTTGCTACTCTACTGGATAGAGCATCACTTTGTTATCTAAAACTATAAAACGGCTATGTATAATCAAACTCGTCGATAGGATGTAGGGAGTTTTGTGGCTCAATACTTAGGAGAAGCACTTTAGAAAGATCAATCTTGCATAGATCATGTTCCAACACTAAGGATTATCAAAGAAAATACCTAAAATCTAATTTTCATTAGATTTGCTTTTTATAAATTAAAAAAAAAAGTATTCGATAGTGTAGACAGGGCAGTAGTATGAAAACGTTAGAAAAACAAAGCCAACAACAAAATGCAGAACACACTGTATTGGTTAAAGAAGCCATAAAAAACGGTCTAATTATAGTGAAACAGACCAAAGCGTTCACATTCTAATCAGCAACGGTTGAGCGCTTTTAACTTTCTAAACCAAAGTAGAATGCAAATGGAATATAAAAAACGAGCCGGCCCGCGGCATATCATACGCCGCTATTTAGTTGTTGTTTTTTTCTACTTTCCAGTAATTCATAATTTGTGAATTCGACAGTACCAACGCTGCCACTGAAAATATTTCTTTAAAACACTATAAATAGCTAGTTAAGGACGATAACCCCCCCCCCCCCCCGCCCCCACGTTCCCCCCCCCCCTCCATTAAAGTAAACTCCTTTTAGTTACCCCCCCCCCCCACTTTTAAAATCGTTTCAAACTAAATTATCTGCCCCTAATAGTCGTCACTAAACCCGGCTCTGCTTGTAAACATTTACCTTGAACAATAACTCACCAGACCATTTAGTGGTGGGGGTGGTAGGGAGCGCGCTTACAGCTTGTTTTCAAGCGTCTTCCAGAAGAGAATTATATATATAGATATGAAATCGGGATCTTAAGCTAAAATGTTAAGTCTGTATTTTTGTATGGCTCGGAGACAGTGTAACAGATAGTGGAGAACGAAATAAGAGAAAAGAAACTGTGGGGGATAGGGAACATGATTAAAAAGACACTTTAAAATATAACTGGTGTGAAATCTACGGGGAAAGATGACGAGGGGGAAACAAAAAGACCACGGAGGAAACCTTTCGAAAGAGAGATGGGGGAGGCTGTATACTTAGAGCCTGAACTTAAAAGAAAATCAAGTTAGTTGACGAAAAGTTTAGGGAGCCGAATGGAATAAAAAGAAGAAAAACCGAGTTTAGAGGATGGCTCGAATAAAGGTCAAGCTATTTTGTTTAGGTTTATGGTTGTGTCTTTAGAACAAACTCGAAACTTTTACATTACAGTTTTGGATAATCACGTTAAAGAAAGTAACAAAACAATGACAGTCGCGGTATTGTACTATGTTCAGAAGTAAATTGAACCTCGTTTAGTATGCCTACTGGCCTAACTATACTGGAAATGAAGTAGCCTATTTGAATTTGTGATAAAACAAGCAACCTCGTCTCTTCGGTACAATTTAGTAAATTTGAATTTAAAAGGTTTATAAGGTAATTTTTAATATAGAAAGCCTGGCTATAATTTCTTAGCTCTTAAATTTTGACCAAATAGTATCGCCTTCCACCCAACCCGCTCCGACCCTATTCTATTTTACTAATCAGATAGCCACATAAGAAGTGTTGATAGGTATTTCTCTTTTAATATACAGAGTTTCTTCCAGGCATCTCTTAAGGGGGGGGGGGGGGGGGGGGGGGGCGAGTCCCCTAATAATGTCTATCCCCCCTAGCGAAATGGAATTTATGTAGAAAATATTATATACTTTTACCAGTGCCCCCCCCCCCCCCAATATCAAGTGCGCCCCCCCCCCCCCCCCCCCCCCCGCCGCCGAGAAAAAAATCTGAAAGAAACACTGTTAATACAAAGGCTGCTGGCAATATTTGTTGCAAACAATAACTACTAAGCATTCCTAAAGATTTATCCTCCTCACCGCATTGTCACAGATAGTTAAAATAAAATTCATCCGATTTCCCCCCCCCCCCCCCAATTTTTCACCTCGAACTATTATTATGCAAAAGTGTGTCGTTAGAATTTTTGAGCCACTTTCAATACTTTCATTGCGAAAACCCCACCCCCTCCTAGCTGTATGATAGTATGTTGCCTAATTTGTCTTTTAACACCACAAAACGATATAGAAAACAATAAATATTGAATATAGAATATATATTTAAAACTGTGAGTGACCACCCCCCCCCCTCCCCACCACCCCTCCCACAGGGTGTTTTAAGAGTCATTTCTCCATCGCACCCGGAGAAAAATGTCTGGAAGTTTTTTAAATAACTTCGTTTGGTTTACAAGTTTAAAAATCTGGCATTGTCATAATTGTACCGCTTTTAGACCCAACGATTTTTTCGATGATTTGTTGTGATGAAATGAATTCCTTGTACTGAATTTAGTGCATCTGATTTACAATGTTAAAACTATTAGTATTTGTAAGTGTAACTGCACTATGTTGTGCAGAAATTGACAGGCTTCTTACAACTGCTCTACCCTGGACACGTTACGAAATAAAAAACGAACATCCTGCTGAATCAACTCAACCTAGTCTTCCTGGTTCTCCTGCCACTCCTGGTCAATCAGATTCAGAAACTGTTCAAACAGGCTTAACTGTTAAGCAATCAAATCAATTAGATCTAGATCTGGATCCATATGTAGATCTACCAGTACTACGTCACGCATTGGTAAGCTGCTCAGAGTTCATAGTGTTTCTTCCAGACTTTTTTCTCCCGGGGGGGGGGGGGGGTGAACATTTTTCAGGGGAAGGGGGGCGGACACTAGAATGTGACTAGAATCTAGATTCTAGTAAAAGTGTATGTTTACTAGATTTCTAGATCTATGTAAAATTAATCTCGTTCGGAGGGGGGCGGTAGAGATGCCTGTAAGAAACTCTGAGTTCATACACTTTTTAAAGAGTTCGACAAAGACGTCCTCTTTATTTAAAAAGTTTAATTCTAGTTTCAGTCTTCATTATTGTAATTTGAGGTCTTAAATAAACTTACTTTACTTTAAGTTTATAATAAATAAAATCTTAAACTTTAAGTTTTAAATAATTATGTTAAATGATTTCTAGATTCTAGAGAAACTAGATATAGATCTATATATAGATCTCTGGATCTAGAATCTAGACTCTATTCTCTAACTAAAATATTAAATATTAAAATAAATGTCACAGTCTGAGTAGTAAGTCAGTAAGGACTGTAAAATCAGCCGAATGTATGTAGTAATGTTAAAGAAAGGTGACTAATTAATTAATATGGCACTTTAATTAAATACACGAATTGTGATTATTTTTGTGTCAAATAAAATAGATAATTGAATAATATTAAAAAATAAAATACAGGCCAGAAATTAACTTCACTCAGCAGTCGATGTTTGAGAGCTAGATTTGCTACATAAACAAGGGTCATATGTAAATTACAGTGGTTTCCCCAAAAATTCTAATTATTACCAAAAAATAACTTGAAAAAGATTGCTGCTAAGTCTAAGTTAACAAGCTTGGTTGCAATTTTAATTTTTTTCTGGAGAGTTTGCGCCCAGGCAGGTGTTCTGCATAGGCGCTCAGGGGTACTACTTAAAAAATGCCATACACATAATGTGCTGCTATATGTATAATCATTGACAAATTCAAATCAGGTGTGTTCACCTGCGACCCCCAGCAGTCAGGTGACCTGTAAGTACTATGGCGCCTACAATTGTTTCAAAAATGTCTAAACCCAACCAGGATTTTCTCTCTGTGCCCCTCCCATAGTGTAACCTTTGGTTCCTAAAGTCTGAGTTAGAATCACAGACTAGGTGCTTTTAAACATCTCAGAGTTCATCCAGCTAAGATGGGTACCTGTTATTTTGGTAAAGTAAAGGCAGAGCTACATAGAACTGAACATACGACCTCTGTATCCCTCTGTAAGCGATGGTCATCTTGACAAGGAACAATAGTACAACCATGGTTAACATTTTTACGAGGGTCACACATTCCACAATATATTTCAATGGTTTCCTTTTAGAATCAAAGTTAGATTTTTTAAATGTGGTAGTCCTAAATGTTTTGTTAATGTAACTGCAATCAATGCTGTTGTTTTTCTTATAGACAAGCAAGAAGTGTTATAGATGTAGACTACACCGTGAGTGTGGGCCTGATAAAAGAGGTACATCTGTTTACAAAGTTAAAGAGTTGTTCAATTTAAGTCATGTTTTTTTATTGTTAAAATCATTTTATTAGTAAATCTTTTAAATATGTTACTTGTGGTGCTGATCTCTGATCAGTGCCATAATTTGTTTGATTTGACATGCTTAGGTATTAGAACTGTTTGCCAAGCCATATAGAAGTGGATGGTGTGATTATTTTTGTGTTCTTTTACTACTGACTCAAATATATCACAAAAATTTGAGGAGGAAAGTGTTTAAAGGCTTAAAAAGTTATATTTAAAAGATCATTTTCCATGCTGTATAATAAGACTGAATACGATTAGTTTGGCATTGTGAAAACTTCCTTTTGTTTTTCTTTTTCTTCCCTGCCATTACATATTAATAGGTTGTCTATTAACCAAATGCTTCTTCTTCTTCGTTCTTAATTTTTAGTGTTGGGAGGGATCGAGCCTTATCTGCCAGAGGGTTTGAACTCGAGACTTTTTTTTTTTCGAATTTATCAACCATGAGCTTTGCCGACTCGACCATGCTTCCATCACAATTAAGGATTACGTGTCAACTGGGTATGCGCCATTGAGGCCATTGACTCCCATTTCAGCCTGCTTTTCTTTTTGTATTTGCTTCCATAGCCTTTGTCCAACCAAGAACAAACTACAAGGCAGCAGTTGTTTGATTTTCGAGTTGTCTCTCCTAGAAGAGTGGCTCTCCCCAGCTAACGAGCCTTAACTGCCCGAGAACCAAATGCTAATACCAACAACTTAACTACAAACATTTCCTCACTTTCTATTAAAGTTTCTTATACTGGTTGAACAATATTATCAACTGCTCTGTAAAATTTGAAAAAATAAAGGAACCATTTTAAAACATCACTCCAATGGGGCAGATGAAGTATTTCTGCGATCTTGGCACACCCAGCTTCCTTTACTTTCACTAACCTTAGTCAGTTAGGCTAGGCTACCCTGAGTACCATAACTATGTAGTAATTACAATACAAAATATTAAGCATATTAGGCTATTTATAGGGGTCGGTGTGGTCGAGTCGGTAAAACTCATGGTTGCTAAACCGAAAAGTCTTTGAGTTCGAACCCTCGGGCAGATAAGGCTTGTTAGCATTGGATGGCCACTCTCCTAGGAGAGACAACTCTAAAATCAAACAACTGCTGCCTTGTAGTTTGTTCTTGGTTAGACAAATGCTATGGAAGCAAATCCAAAAAGAAAAGCAGGCTGAAATCAGATTCAATAGCCTCAATTGCATATAACCAGTTGAGACGTATACTTAATTGTGTTGGAGTGGATCCCTTCCAAAACAAAAATTAAAAACGAAGAAGAAAGGCTATTTATAGTTAGTAAAAGCACCTTAATTTTTAGAAGCCTGCAACTAAATGAATGTTACAGTATAAAGATTTTTGTTAATTACAGTTGTAATTTTAAACTGTTTTCTTCTCACTCTCCTTCACCAGCATCATTCAAACACTCATGTGGAAAGTTCCACAGTAAGAAAGGAGGAATAATTCTAACTGTGGACCTACCTAACAAGTCTGAGCTTAATACTGTGACAGTTTGTAAAAACTCTAAACTCAACGGTGCTAAAATTAAGGAGGAACTGAAGCAAATAAGGAACAACAAAAAGTGTGCCAATAGGTATGTTTTGGAGCTATTAAACTACATAACTTAAGATAAACAATAGGCCTTCATTACTAAATATTTAAAAAATTCTTTGGATCCTGGTCAAAGATCAATTTAAACATTGTGTCCAAACATTTTTGAAGGATAAATTAGGAACTGTTAATAATAAATTGTTAGAAGAATAAAATAGTTAATGATAAAACAGAATTTGAAAAACTACAGTTCTTTTAGCGATTTGTTCTTTATAATAGTTTTTTTGTAAAATTTAAAATAAATCTAATGGTATGAATTTAACACTAGTCTTGAAAAATTTTTTAGTTAAAAGCACTTGGTCTAGATTAAATATTAATGGTTTGTCATAAAATCGCCGAAAGAATCTTGCTGATTATTTTTTTTTTATGTTTCAAAAGTTTTGCTAATTTCACATTGATTTTTATTTCATGTTTCAACGGTTGTGGTAATTTCACATTGATTTTTATTTCATGTTTCAACAGTTGTGCTAATTTCACATTGTGTCCACTTGAAGCTAAATCCAGCAATGACTGTTTTCAAAGGTAGGGTATTAAGTATAGGATTATATTTATATTTTGTATGTTTAAATTAGGGACAGCAATGTCAAATAGTAGAGCTTACAAGTCTCAAGTCGGGATCCCGGGCTCGAGTCCGGAGGAAGTCCCTTGATCTATTTGGCTCTGATACATTTGTGACTCGTATTGCGAAAACAGGCTGACCACACTATCCTCCAGTATGCTGAGGTCTTAGAAACATGTCTTGGGCATAAACATGAAAAGATGATCATGTTTAAATTATCTTAATGTCTTTTGCAATGACCTGTTTATTTCCAATTCATCAGGCAACCCCTTCAGATGTATGTGTCTGAGAGTAATAGAATCTACGACATCTTTACTGGAGAAAACATGATGTGTCATAACTGCCTGGTAATGCTGTCACTGTCAGCACAAGTAGGCCAACAGGGTCAAGGTTAGTTTTTTTTCTTTATTTATTTTAATTAGTTTCAACTTGAATAAGCAGAATGTTATTATAGACTCATTGGGTGTATTTGGTTTAGGTTAATTTAATTATTTTAAACTAAACTTTAATAAACAGAGTGTTGTTGTATATTCTTTGAGAGTATTTTGACTAATTTGTTTTATGCAAAAGGGCAAAACAGTAAATTTTGTATTACTTTTACTAAAACTTCCCAAAAACAGAGTCACTTGAGTTTATTTTCTCATTGACCTACCAGTGATCTACCAGTATTTGTATATATACTGTATCACTCATGGTCTTCTTCTTCGTTCTTAATTATTAGTGTTGAAGGGGATCGAGATTTATCTGCCAGTGGGTTTGAACTCGAGACTTTCGAATTTATAAACCATGAGCTTTTTGCAGACTCGACCACGCCTCCAACACAATTAAGCGTTACGTGTCAACTGGTTATGCGCCATTGAAGCCGATTTCAGCCTGCTTTTCTTTTTGGATTTGCTTCCATAGCCTTTGTCCAATCAAGAACAAGCTACAAGGCAGCAGTTGTTTAATTTTGGAGTTGTCTCTCCTAGAAGAGTGGCTGTCCCCAGCTAACGAGCCTCATCTGCCCGAGGGTTCTTACTCGAGACTTTTCGGTTTAGCAACCATGAGCTTTACCGACTTGACTACGCCGACCCCATCACTCATGGTGATCTACCAGTATTTGTCTCATTGACCAAACATACTATGTCACTCATGGTGATCTACCAGTATTTGTCTCATTGACCAAACATACTGTGTCACTCATATGACTGGTTATCTACCAGTATTTGTCTCATTGACTAAACATACTGTATCACTCATGGTGATCTACCAGTATTTGTCTCATTGACCAAACATACTGTGTCACTCATGGTGATCTACCAGTATTTGTCTCATTGACCAAACATACTGTGTCACTCATGGTTATCTACCAGTATTTGTCTCATTGACTAAACATACTGTATCACTCATGGTGATCTACCAGTATTTGTCTCATTGACCAAACATACTGTGTCACTCATGTGACTGGTGATCTACCAGGCATTATTTTTAACACAGGAAGTTGGCAGTCACTGCTAGATATGTGCTGTAGGCCTACAGTCAGAGAAACAGACAATTTCTATAATTGAACGTGGTCTGGCTTGTAGGAAATTGTCCTCTTATATATATCAGAGATCTTTTTCCTTTATTTTCTATAAATTATATTTTTCCTTTCAAGTAAATTTTCTGCCTAACTTTTAGATCAGATGATTTTTTTGTTCAAAGTTTCAGCTCATTTTAAATAAAAACATAGAAGTACATTGAATTATGGGGATCAGGCGGGGAAGGGGAGATAAACCTGTTAATGTTACAAGAAAGCAACTTTTGTGATGTGCTTTGTTTCATCTTATTTTGACTGCCCTGGCTAATGTTGACACATAATAACATGTTCAATCAACTGCCTATATCCATTTATACAGTTCAAACAAGATGTTTCCCCATAAGCTTGTCCTACGGTAATGGACATGATTCACACAAAACGCGGAAGAGAAGATCCTCAAAGCAGGCTAAACCTGCAGCTCATGATTTAACACTGAATGCACAGCTGGGTGGGGCGTTGAACCACACTGAGAAGATCCCCATTGATGGTAGCCGGCTGATCATTACAAACAACCCTAGGAACTTGAGCTTTGAGGGAGTCAAGGGCTCTAAGACTTCTCCAATTCATCCAAGTAAGTTAAACATAGATGTTTATGTAAGTGTACATATATATAAGTATACATATATACATACAAAAAGGCCTATAAATATAAAATCTCTCTCTATATATAGAAAGAACGGGAGATGTAATCAGGCCACTTATTATTGGGGCAGCCATTTATTTAGGCCAAATGGTAAATACATTCTGAGAGTGAATTTGTTATAAGCTTAGCCTTGGGGCAGAAAGCCTCCATTTTGGATGTGTCCTGATTTTTTGTGTCTTGTGTATAGCTCTACCTATTGGCTACACACTAGCTACACTCTTTTTCTTCAGTCACTTTTCAATAAAAATTATGAAAAAAATTCACATTGTGTTGCCATACAACATGTTTTTTTTTTTGGTATGTTTTAAATATATAATAATAAAAGGTTTTAATTAAATTAACATAATGCATGTTCATAATCTGCTGGTTTTATGTTGATTACTTTGCTGATACCATGAGAAATTTTTTTTTTATCTTGTGGTTGCACTAGGTTGGGTGTCACCTGGTGAGGAAACTGATAGTTTGGTGCTACAAAATGTATTTAACTCTAACTAGTTACTTATACAAGTACACAAAGCTTTATTTGCTGTATACTATTTAATTTTTTTTTTTAAATTGCATCTTTTGGTGCAGTTTGCACCCCTGCCCCATGATGTAACTGATGGTACCACAACATCATGGATTTTATCAAGAAAAGATTTCAATGGGTGTTGATACTGCTATAAAAGGCATAGCTATTAATTGATTTGTTTAATTAAAGTTTGGTGACTAGATTGCATTGTAGTAACTTTGTTGCTTTTTGCCTTACGCCTTGCGTCAACCTGCCCCAGCATAGGGCTAGAAGTAGCAATCTTTTTGCAACACATTTTTCATCTATATCTTGAAAATTTAAAAAGATTAACTTCATTTTGGTTGTTCAGTTTGTTGTTTAATTGTTTGTGTTGCATCTTGTTCAGTCTCATTTGTAACAGTTTACTCTAAATAGGTCAAATATAACAAACAGACACAATTGTGACTTTTAGCCCCATCTTGTCATATTGTTAGTTTTCAAAATGTTTTTAGCGCAATTTCCATTCTGGAGAATTGCGTTTATTAACTCGTCTTTTCTGGGAATGAATGGATGGATGGATGTGTGTCCGCAGCTTTAAGTCGTATCTCCTCCTCAACGAAGCAATATCGATGACTAGTTACAAAAGCAATTACGTTAAGCAAGTTACGAGGATGAACATAGGCCATAAAAATTCCGGGTTTCTTTCATGGATTTCCCGAAAAAGCCAAAAAACCTCGGAAAAATGCAGTTTTTGGCCCATATCTCGGCAACCAGACCACTTAGGGACTTGAAACATATACCAATCGATTCCTGCCATAATTTAGAACAATATTGCCGAAGAAAGTTTTCAAAAATATCCTCTCGTTCGGTCACAAATTTTAAAATTACATAAACACCTACAAACCGATCGTTCTTCTAGCTTGAACGCACCCCAGCATTATACGTCAGAGCTATTTTTAGATAACATAAGGAAATTGCGCATAAATGTCACTAGACTTTTTTAATTAACTTGTTTTTTTTTAAATTCTTGTGAAGCATCACAAGAGTTGAGTTAGACAAATCACCCAACTAATGCTAAAGGAATTTCATCTTTAACACTGCTTACAGTCATCATTAAGTTGCCTACTGCCAAAAAACCATCAATCTTGGTCAAGTAGCACAAACATTTTTTTCTACAAATGCACACATCTAAGCTAGAAATAGAGAGAAGGAAAGTGAGAACTATAGACATGTTTTTTGTTTAAACATTTGGCTAAGTGAGCTAAGATTATATGCAATAGTATGTGTATGTGTTGGCTATATGAGACACTGTTCCCTCTTTAGAGACAGGAGATGGTCCAAAAGTCACCCCTATTGATTTTAATTTGGGGAAAGTTCAGGACTCTGTAACATCTGAAGTACCACCAGGTGAGTCTACTTGTAAGATTTTTCCCATACTTTGATCATTTTGACACCTTGGTTATAATATTACCAGTATGCCTAACAAAAAAATTATAAATTGTCATGGGCAGAAATTTGATGTTTTTTGTGTTGTGATAACTTTCAGTTCCTGATTGAAGTTTTTTATTCAGCTTGTGAAAAAGTCAGCTCAATTATCTGATACTTCTCATTTACATACTTCTTTCACAACTCCTCCCTACCCCAGATATGTAACTTTTTAGGGAAGCAGGTGGAAAACTTTCTGCTTTTTAATTCTCTATTTTATTTTTCTAAAACAAAAAAGGAAAAGTCAAATTTATTTGAAGGGCAACTTTGTCATGGGCAGAAATTTGATGTTTTTTGTGTTGTGATAACTTTCAGTTCCTGATTGAAGTTTTTTATTCAGCTTGTGAAAAAGTCAGCTCAATTATCTGATACTTCTCATTTACATACTTCTTTCACAACTCCTCCCTACCCCAGATATGTAACTTTTTAGGGAAGCAGGTGGAAAACTTTCTGCTTTTTAATTCTCTATTTTATTTTTCTAAAACAAAAAAGGAAAAGTCAAATTTATTTGAAGGGCAACTTTATGTATGAAATAGAACTATGCTGGAACCTGCACAGTTCTCATTGTATTTTACTGAACATCAGCCACACTCAGGTCTCCATAACCTAAACCACCCCTCACCCACATCCCTCGAGCATGCTGATAATGAATCCACAATATGTTTTTGAGAATTACTCAAGAATACTTTAGTGTAAGTGTAAGAATATCATAATAATTTTAGACTGCTTATTATAATTTGGTAATGGCAATTGATTCATTTTAAAATTTTCTTATTGATTATTAGAAAATGTCATTGAAATGTTTTAAATAACATGAATTAACTGAACAGGTTACACTCCGATAATTTGGTGACATTTAAAAAAAAAATTATCTACTTTAGCAGATGATTGAAATTCTGGATTCATTTGTTGAAACTGTCATTTTACATAGTCAGTTATCGTCATTATGTTGGTTCCTTTTGTTATAATCTTAAACTGGACTTAACTTGTTATCTTGCATAAAAAAATAGGTGTCCAAAATATTATATTTAAAAAAAAAAATGGTACAGAACTTAATTATTGTGGAACAATGATACTTTTGTTACTAAAACTTTCTTGTTTCTGGGAGGGGGGGGGGGGGGAGGAAAGATAAGCAGCCCTGATAGATAGATACTTAAAATACACAAAAAACACATTTCAGCTGGTAAAGTAGTCTTGACTTTCTGTAACTACCGGGAACAAAAATGCCAGATGCTTATCACTAATTGTTAATTGCATTAAAAATGCAGTGTGTGCTATAGTGGAAAAATGTGTATTGTAAAAAGTGTACATGTATTTTGTATAGTCTTATTGTGAAGCAATGCAAGAGACAACTACCTAAACAAATCAACCAGCTAATACATAAGGAATTACAATACAAACAGTGCTTACAGTCATTATTGGATTATTCACTGTAAATAATAGTAACAAACCAACAACATATGTAGCCCTACATACATACATACAGAGGAGAGTGCTAGGATTTAAAATAAAATGCTTTTTTATATATATACAAAAGGCAAAGTGAACTATAACTATATCCATGCTAATTGTGTATTTATAGACTACAAAGATTTTTTTTCCATTTAGAGAACGGAGGTGACCCACAGGTGACAGGTGTCCCGCAGGTGACCCCAGGAGATGAACCAGTAAAGAATGTTGACCCAGAAACCTCTCCTCCACCAAGTCAGTTGTGCTTAGATGACTACTTAAATATAAAAATGTACATGTTTTGACTGAGTCTATGTGTTGCAATTTAAATGGGGGAAGATGGCATTTTGAAGGGTAGTGAGTATAATTTTTGACACAATGGGGGACAATTAAATCATTTATGGTATTAATGGGTGGCTGATAATCATTTGGTGATTAATTTGTGGATGTAGTTTATTGTGTGAACAGTTTCTGTGATAATGTTCCATGATCTTTGAAATGTTAGGCTATAAAGTGAATTGAGAAAAGATTTAAGATTGTTTTCATGAAAAGTCTCGAGTTCGAACCCTCGGGCAGATGAGGCTCATTAGCTGGGGACAGCCACTCTTCTAGGAGAGACAACTCTAAAATCAAACAACTGCTGCCTTAATGTAGTTTGTTCTTGGTTGGACAAAGGCTATGGAAGCAAATCCAAAAAGAAAAGCAGGCTGAAATCGGAGTCAATGGCCTCAATGGCACATAACCAGTTGACACATATCCTTAAGTGTGATGGAGGTGTGGACGAGTCGGCAAAAGTTCATGGTTGATAAATTTGAAAAAAGTCTTGAGTTAAACCTCTGGTAGATAAAGCTTGATCTCTTCCAACACTAAAAAATTAAGAACGAAGAAGAAGAAGAGTTTTCATGAAAGAAAATCAATACTTTTATTTGTGAAATATTTTGTTGGTGTTGCAGTAGCCCTGTAGATGATGTCATTTTGTTAGTTTTAATTATAAATTCTATGGATCATCTTTACCCTTCTGTGCTGAGGACATGTGGCCCCTCACAGAAAGTTCACTTCTCGTTCCAGTCTCTGACAACTTTCTTTACTTTTCCCCAAGATAATCCAACTTTTATCAGTTGCTGTACTGCTGTGCTGTAACTGCACCTGATTGTTGTATTTTTAGATGTATAGATTGTAAAAAGTATCAGCTGTTTTGCTAAATTTAGATTTTTAAAATTTTTTTTTTTTTTTGTTTTCAGCCACAACAGAAAAAGACCCTGAACCAGAACCTGATCCTTTTGTTGCTGAAGTAAGTAGCCTGCACTAGTTATTTGAAAACATTTTTCTTCCATCTCTCCACTCCCCAATATAATCGCTCAAGGAACAAATAGATCCAAAACTTTTTTCACCAATCTGGACAGTCAACATCATAAAAAACTAAACTGTCTTATAAGTCCAACTTCAATGTTTGCGATTAGTAATTAATTCCTAATGAGCTGATGAATTAACACAATTAATATATATAGGCCTATATTTTAATAGTCACCAATTTTTTTTTTTCATTACAAAGAGGTTATGTAAAAGTTGTCCAGTTTTGCTTACCTGCTGATATGATTTTGATCAAATAATTATCGTTCATTGCTATATGCATTTATATTTTAATAACTTGAAATGAAAATACATGCAGTATTCTAATTATAAAAGTTCAAGAAGAGTGCACTGTTATCAATGTTACAAACCCACTATGACGCCAACATTCTTTGCAAAGAGCACCCTACAATAGAGATAAGTGGGCAACTACATTCAATAAATAATTAAACTAGGTGATGCATCCTGCGCCCCTGTTGTAGTGAAACAAGTGACTCATAAGAGCGCCCAGCCATGCCCCTGACACATGGGCAGTCACCAAGGTGTGTTCTGCCTTACTATAACAGAGGGTGATTAACACACATGTTCAAGTCTCCCATACAGCTGTGGGGCGCATGGGTGGTAGTGGGAACACACCTGGCCCCAACAACTAGTATCCAAAAAATATAGCACAGGCATTGCTTACTTTTAAATATATCAGTTTTAGAAAGTAAGGTCAATGCACAAGAAGTAAAAGTTAATGAAACCCTATAAAATATTGCGTCACTCAGTGTCTAGAACTAGATTACAGCTAATCACGATGTGTACCGATGTGTACGTTAGTTGGTTTTATAATTTAAAGTTAAAATTATTAGATCCAGCCTACAAAATATTACACTTTATCAAAACCTTCATCTGCCAAATTTGACGCATATTTTATTAAAACATTCACTTATTCATGTCTTTTTTTTTTAAGAAACCAGAGCGGAGCAAACTGGCTGATAGTGGAAACTGCTTCAAAATGGGGAAAACTGTGTTATTTTTAATTCAGTTTGTTATGTTCTTCTACTGCTTGTAAACTTTGCTGCTTCAAAATGGGGAAAACTGTGTTATTTTTAATTCAGTTTGTTATGTTCTTCTACTGCTTGTAAACTTGTTGCTGCTTCAAAATGGGAAAAGCAGTTTTCTTTTTTATTTTCTCTAACTTCTATTTTTTTGTAAGGCTCTATGCCATATCTGCTTAAGATTGAGATTGAGGTGTCTGTTAAAGGCACTTCTTTAAGCAATTATTTATTTTTTACCCTTTGGTTTTACAATTTCTTTTTTAAAATCAGTATTTTGTTTTGATAAATTATTATTATTAGGTTACCTATCACTTGAATAAGTAACTAGCCTTATTTTGTCTGTTTAAAAAATTGCTTTTTTTCCAGTGCTATATTTTGTGTATTCAAGTAGCCTACAATATAGGCCAGAATTTTTAATTTTTTTTTATAAAAAGCTTTTAGCTACTGGAACACATCTTGTTGATTTAATTAAGTGTAAATGACTATAAACATTTTTTTCTGTTTCTGTGTCAAACAAATTTCACCATTTATCATTTATCTGTTGCACATATTTGCATGCCATGATTTTATTTTGCATTTAATTAGGCTATAATAATTTTTAAGATTTCCACTAATATAGAATGATTTTTTTATTTCTAAATTCTGAACTTTGTTGACTGATTATGCATTTTGTTTTGTTCTATTGTACTTTTTGATTGATTTAAAGAAAATTACATTTGGTCTTTTATTTGTAAAAATAAAATTTTGCTTTAAAACAAAAGGTGTTAAGTTTTTTTTTTAGAATACATATCAATAGGCCTCTAACTGACTGACAATGTTTCAAGTTTTTGTTAGCCTATGTTTGAATTACAATTTCAGGTTATTTGAATAAATCATAATCCAAAGGCATGTAAAAGAAATCTTGAATTTCATCCTGTGTAGAATGATCTAACTGTTGAATGGAAAAGATTAAAAATCCAAGAAGTAATACACAAGCCTGTACTATAAGTGGTAAACATCAAATCTGAATATTGTTGTAATTGAGTATCATGGGGCAGTTAGTCAATGATGTTATGATTGAACACAGTCTGTAGGATGTCCTTGAGTTTACCAGCCCTGAAGCATGGCAGGTAGCAGTCAAGTTTGATAGTTTAGTAGAATATCTTCACAATAATTACGAAACATCACTTCAACAAACTAGCTAAAACAGGAGACTAAATGAAGAAATGTGACGTAGACTAAAAAGACAAATACTTAGTAAAAAGTTATAGTTTGGCATAAAAATGTTTTAGAACATCTGTCAAGTTTGATTTTTTTAGTGGAATGTCTTCACAGTGTTAAATGTGGATTCTTGATGAAATCACATTAGTTTGTTTATGAGAATTTAGCTTTTTGAAAGTACTTAAACATGAATTAGTTATATTATGCTATGCGTAGGCCTGCACTAGATATGTCTTGGGAAACAATGTTGAAGAAAACCTTAGGTACTCAGTAGAAAAAGGGAATGTGATGCCTTCTGAGTTTATTTGAATACCTCTCTAGGAAACTGTTTCTTTCTCTTCAGTGCCTCCGAAGCACGACCCTCACTTGACAGAAATAGAATTTATATATAAAATATAGGTATACTTTTACCAGTGTCCACACCCCTGGAAATTTTAGTCTGCCCCCCTCCCTCCCTGCAAAATATTTCAAGTTTTTTAAAACAATTAATAGGCCTACTAGATATGTTTGCAATATTTATATTTTCCTCTACTGCTGATTCTTGTTAAATACACCAAGAATGTCTTCAGAAAGAAATGCAGCATTAGGTGTTTATTTATTATATTTAACGTCACAAATCTTAGGTCTATATAATTATAGTCTATACTTCAATGTCCTATTGTTTTCAGTTCATATATTCAACACCTACTTAATACTTATTCTCTTTAGAATGTTTTTTGTTGCTTATATAATTTATTATTAGGCCTATCAAAAATGGATTAAATGGATGATCACTGATTCATTCATAGAATTGTTTTTCTAAAAATAACATCTAGCCTACAGGGCCACTAATTTTATCTTGATTCTAAGTTATTAAAGAAAAATGCGAAAATTTTTAAATTGAAATCTATTTTTAGTAAACTTCCAAGAAACAGTTCATGTCAATTCCCATTTCCTGAATTTTTAGTCGACCATTGACTTGATTAATTTTAATTTAGCAGATCTAGATCTAGCTTAATTATTAATTAAAATAGACACAGTCTAAATCTAGAGATCTATACTTCTAAGGTCTAGAACTAAGCTAGATCTAAATTCTAAATGTACAAGTTGAAGTGAAGGTAACTTTAAACTTTAAAAATTAAATATGGTAGATTAACACTACACTAACTACTACAGTAGTACTAACTATAGTTAGTAGTAACTAGATCTAGTAACTATCTAGATCTAGTACTAGTCTAGTAACTAGACTCTAGTAGAGTTAAGAGTGGACTTACTAATACTAGACTAATAGACAATAGATCTAACTACTTTTATTTAACTAGACTTTACTAGATCTAGATCTAGTTTGAGTTAGACTCTCTAGATCAAGTAGTAGTGCTACTAGTTACTAGTACAAGTACAGTACATTGTGAGTACATAGACTTAGCTTAGTACAAGATCTAGATCTAGCTAGTCTCTAGTAGTTAGTAAGTACAGGTAGTAGCCTAAGTAGTAGGTACCAGAGGTAGGCCTACGGTCTCGGCGACACGTAGTTTACTACTCTAAGTCTAACAACTGAATAGGTACAAATATTATATTAGGTAAGAGAGACAAGGAAAGGTACATGGATAGGTTTAACATAGGGGTCGTCCATAAATGATGTCACACTCTCAGGGGGAGGGGGGGGTCCATAATTTTGTGACGAGGGGGAGGGTTCAGATGGTGCGACGTCACACTTTTGCATTATAAAAAAGCAATGTTAGAAAACGAATTTCACGTTTTAGAAAACTGATTTAATAAATTGCAATGGGAATTGATAAAAATACTCTATTTTGAAAGTGTTCAGACAAGATTTTGGAAAAATATCGATGTTTAAAGAAAAATTCAACTGCAATTTTGAGGGGGGGGTTGTAGGCTGAGGTGTGACGTCATTTTAGGGGGGGGGGGTGGGGGTCTGGCTTTTTGTGACGATGTGTGATGGAGGGGGGGGGGGAGGTAAAAATCATCCAAAAAACTGTGACGTCATTTATGGATGATCCCATACTGATAACTCATAGGCCCTATGACTCAATGACTGGGTCATAGGGTAACATACATAAGGGATAGTTACAGTAGTTTGACATAATTTAAATTTATGGATGACCCATAGCAGCTTAACTTATTCAAATACTTTTATTAAAAGACGTCTTATAGTTAGTAGGCTAAGGGATTTTAGAAAAAAATCCCTTTTTAAGAAAACAGATTGCACTTCAGGGGACGGGTTAGACTGATGTGTGATGTCATTTTATTGGGGAGAATTTTGTTTTATTTCTTAGGCGACAAGGAATTAATTACATATACAGCTCACCATTACCATGGTTGCTAGAAATAAATTCAAGTTTAAGTAAAATTTTGTCTTATTTTTGTAGGCGGTGAGGATCTACTGCTTACTTTACCATGAGTAGGTTCAAGTATGAGCTCACCAGATCAGCAGCTAGGGATGATGTTTCCAATGTTGAAAAGTTGCTCCAGCAAGGGGCTGATGTTGATCCTGTTGATAGAGGCAAGATGACCCCGTTGATGGCGGCAGCACGCTCTGGACACGCCACTGTGGTTGGTGTTCTGTTGCAATATGGTGCAGATGTGCAGCACGAAGACAAGCGCAATAAGACAGCTTTGTTTTGGGCAGTGTCCAAAGGCAATCAGTTGACGTGTGAGAATTTAATTAAACACGATGCTGATATTGAGCATATTAGAAAAGATGGATCCAGCACACTAATTATTGCAGCAAGTAAAGGTTATATAAATATTGTCAAAATTTTACTAATTGGAGTCAATGGGAAAAAAAGTTTTCTAGATCATAAAAACAAGAATGGCTTTACTGCTTTAATGGAAGCTTCAAAAGAAAATCACTATGAAATAGTGAAGGAATTACTTAAGTATAATGTTAAAATTGATGAAGTTGATTGCAAAGGGACTAGTGCTTTGTTAAAAGCAGCCAGTAGGGGTCACAGTGATGTTTTAGAATTGTTACTAGATCACAAAGCTGATTTTAATCTTACCCAGAAAGATGGGTTCAGTGCTCTTATGCTAGCTTCACAACATGGACATTTGAAGTGTGTGAAAGCCTTACTTAAACACAGAGCTAACATTGATCAGGTAAATGTTGCTGGGTGCACATCTTTATTACTTGCTGTAAGCTGTCGTGCAGTTGATAGGTTAAAAATTGTAAATCTGTTGTTAAAGCACAAAGCTGGAGTCAACGTTTGCAATACTGACGGATGGACAGCTCTTATGCTGGCAGCTCAGATGGGTCATGTTGACACAGTTGACACACTATTGGCACACGGCGCTGAATGTAACCATACAAACAACAATGGCTGGAACTCTCTTGGCATTGCAGCACTACATGGGTATTCAGATATTGTAGAGCGTTTGTTGGATAAAAAGATGACTGTTGATTACCTTGATCATGAAGGATGGATGCCTCTTTTAACAGCATCCCAAATGAATTATTCTGGAACTATTCCAACCATGGAGTTGCTTTTGCAAGCTGGAGCTGATGTTAATTTCAGGGACCCTCAAGGTTGGACGCCTCTACTAATCAGCTGTGTGTACCAACATATTGAAAATACCAGGCTTTTGCTAAACAAAGGTGCTAACATCAATCATTTCAATAACGAAGGTGCTAATGCACTTACAATTACTTTGATGAACGGTAATTTTGAAATCATGAAATTATTAATTGAAAACAAAGCAGATATTTATACAGCCAATAAACTTGAAATCACCACTTTGATGCTGGCTGCGAGATTACTAAATGAGAAAAAGTTCAGAGAATTTCTTCAGTGTGTTGAGGCTGTAAGTGCACCAAAGGTTGCAGCAGAGGGCTCCTGCACTTCTGTTATCCCAGTGAACAATAATACTTTACAAGTCGCACTACTCCCAAGCTCAGAAACATTTTTCCTAAACAACTCACACCTGTAAGTATTTTTACCTTTTTTCAGTGAACTCTGTCCCTCTGCTTGTCAAGGATCACTTGGCAGAGAATTCACATCTCTAGAAAACTCAACATCTTCCTCTCAGTACACATCATCATCATCATCACAACATCCTTGGTTCCGCTCATCAATTTTACCCCCTGAAATTTAAATGAACATGATGAATATTATATAAGTATAAGCTTACTCAGCATTTATGCACCATGTTGTAACTGCTGAAATAAACAATTGTTCTGTATTATCTCTATTTTTGGGTTTTGTACCTGATACAAAACACAATTTACCTTGACTTGTATCATTATAAACTTACACAATCATCTCAGCTTGTGTAGTTGTTTTATTGTCTAACTTCTTCTTCTTCTTCTTCGTTCTTAATTTTTTAGTGTTGGAAGAGAACGAGCCTCATCTGCCCGAGGGTTCGAACTCGAGACTTTTCGGTTTAGCAACCATGATCTTCACCAACTTGACCACGCCGACCCCTAACAATTTGTCTAACAATTTATTGTATTTGTGAATTCTTCATTAAGATTTCAATATTTACCCAACGTTTTAAAAAACTTGTGAAGGAAAAATAAACGTCCTCCTAAACCTGTTGGTACATAGGGGAGCTGAAGCAGAGTTCGTCTGTTTCTTTAATTGCAGCATATGAAGTTATTATTTGGCCAGCACTTTTCTCATCTTCTTTACTTTGATCCACTGATTGGGTCCAATAACAGTTGAGGAGAGTAGAATCAGGGAGGTCCTCGCAATCCCATGAACTGGAGTAGAGAGTTGTATGCTCTACTAGATAACTTGTGTTTATTTTTTCTGTCTCTCTATCAACAGTGGATTAAATTGTTTCATACAGCAGTGTGTTTATTTTTTCTGTCTCTCTATCAACAGTGGATTAAATTGTTTCATACAGCAGTGTGTTTATTTTTTCTGTCTCTCTATCAACAGTGGATTAAATTGTTTCATACAGCAGTGTGTTTATTTTTTCTGTCTCTCTATCAACAGTGGATTAAATTGTTTCATACAGCAGTGTGTTTATTTTTTCTGTCTCTCTATCAACAGAGGATTAAATTGTTTCATACAGCAGTTGCGGCAAGAGCTCCAGACATTACTAAAACACACAACCATGTAAGTTTTATTTTGTAATGTAGCTTTTTTTCAATTTTATGATGTTTATTCTTTTTATATGTTTTGTTCTATTTAAATTTGTTATCATCAATTTTACTTCTGACTTTTCTTTAAATTTTTTTATATCTTTTGTATATAATTGCTTAATAATATAACGTGATTAAAAAAACTTCAGTTCTTTTAAAATTTCTTTATATTTAGCACCTTTCAACTGAATTTTATGAAGCCTGTGAAATTCCTGCATGTAGATAATGTTGAGTCTGTAACAACGGGGGATGTGACCTGCGCAGCCTTTGACGGCAGTCGTATAAATATTAAATTAGAAGGATCAGAATCAGGGTCAGAAGACGACAGCTAGCCTACATGCAAATAACAATTTTGTGAATTTCTATTAAAATGTTTTTTCTTTCTTAAGTTCTAGTCTTTTGCCCATTTATAAAACTTTATTAAAATAGTCTTACAAGTAGTATTGGTCTATGTATATGAAACATTGCTCAAAACGTTTGTAGTATGGATATTTTTAATTGATATATATTATAATATGGTTTTATATATATATATATATATATATATATATATATATATATATATATATATATATATATATATATATATATATATATATATATATATATGGTTGTATTATTATTTATTTATATAGGCCTATAATCCCTGGGTAAACTTGACTAATATTTACAAAATGAAAAAAAAAATTTTTTGACACTCTAAATATTCTAGTTTAAATAATACAGATCTACATTTTATAAACTTTTTATTATTATACTTAGCTAAGCTGTTTTTACATTTGGAGTTATAAGGAACATTGTCTATAGATCTTGTCAAGCAATTGTGAGCCTCCAAAGCTTTTTATTATGTATTGTTAGATGTGTCAATTATACATCCAAGTTTAGATTTTTAGTGAATTTTGTTTTAGATGAATTTTATTATTTTAAATAATTTACAAATTTAACTTAATTTAAATGACAAAGACTGCTAGTCTTCAAAAAATAACATTTGTATATTTTTTTCTAAATTGCATTAAGAAATTTAAAAATAAAATAAATTAGGTGTAATTAATTACATTTGTTAAATTGTTGTAACTCCATGAGATTAGCCACTCCCTATTTTGAGCGGAATTTTACAGGTTGTGTGAAGGTATGTCTGAATTATTTGACTAGACCTAATGGGTGAAATGGCATCAATTTCTGTTAACACTCTTATAATAATTGTTATAATGCAAAATAAATATTATATAACAGTGAGAGAAATACATAGCAGTGACCAGACATGCTAGTAAAGGGTTAAATAACGTATTCGCTGATTTAGTTCCAGTAAAGTACAGTGATGCTTTGTAGGGTCAGATATATTTTTCTAGTGTGTTAACATTTGCCTTCTATATTTCCCCAACTCATGCTGGGTACCTGATTCAGACCAAACTGACTCTGACTTGGTGCATGCAGTTAAATGCTCCACAGCTTTCCCCCACCACTCATCAGCTGATGTTATTGTTGCAATATTATTTAAATTTAATGATCTCGTTTGGCTTTAGTTTAATTCAAAAGAAAAAATAAATTGCTAATCTATGTGAATTTGTCTTATGCTTATTATATAGGCATATACTAGATAAACAATTGAGACAATATATTTTGAATAAAAAAATGTAATGAATACTGTTGTAGTGTTAGTAGTATTATTAAACAGATAAAGATTACAAAACATGTTAATAGTGAAAAAACATAAGTCAATAAACATTACAAAACTATACAAATTGCAAAACATAAATTGATTAAAAAAATATTAAAAATTACTAAACATCAAATAAAATGTATGTTAATTAAAATGAGTCAGTAAGACGACAAAAGTTAAATTATACTTGAAATATTTTTGACACTTTTGCTGATCAGGGTTTTTTCTTAGGCATCCCTTCAGGGGTCACTCTCCTCCCCTGAAGCATATGCAACCTCCACCCCCCCCCCCCCCCCCACCAACAAAATAGAAAACATAAACATAATTCATTTTATAAATAGATACTTTATGCATATAAATGTCTGAAAAAAATATTGTTGCTGATAGTTGTAAATAATCATGTGCATATCTTTTCCTTCACTTCACATTATTCCTAATAATTATATATACAATTATACATTTCAATTCAGATTTAAAAGAGCATTGCTATCACTGTTTGGCATGGTAGTTGGCGATATTTGTTATTTAAAGATAGTTGTGATACATTTGAAATAAAGATAAGGGTCTAATGCAGTGGCGTAGGCAGGTCATAACCTCGGGGGGGGGGGGGTGCAAAACGAAAGTTTGAGGGGGAGGGGGTGCAAATCAAAAGTTTGAGGGGGGGGGGGGTGCACATCGAAAGTTTGTCCCCCCCTGTTAAAAATTTGAACATCCCCCCCCCCCCCCTATGAGACGATCCTGGCTACGCTACTTGTCTAATGATTTCGAAATCCCCAGGAAGATAGGACTCAATAACTGAGAACAGCAAGCAATCTAGGAGAGAAATCTGTAAATTCGAACAACTGCCCTGTAGTTTATTCTTGGTTGGAAACAAGCTATGAAAGCTGGCTGAAATACTTAGTTATTTTAGAAGAAATCCTTTCCAAAATTATAATTAAGAACGAAGAAGATGAAACAAAGATTTAACATTTCATATGGCAGGTCAAGTGGAGTTTCATTTACATCATCATTTGAGGATGGTGCTAGACCAGTTACTTTTCAGAGCTGGGTGTAGGCCCTACTCAGAATTTCCTACAGCTTAACTGACCAGGCAATCCTACCCTAAAACTTGGAAATTTTTTTTTTAGTCTATGCTCAAGCAGCCAGCAGTACTCAAACAAATTAACCAACTGATAGTGATTACAAATTTCAAAGACCTGTTTTATCTAGGCTTATTAATGTTTATGTCATTTAAATCTAATTTCCCTAGAAAATGTTCACACTTTCTAGCCCTCCTCCCCATATCAACGTCTTCATCAAAGTCTGCCCCTCCCCCCAGAAATATGACGCCACCTTAAGATGACCCCCAGAGCAGCACCAGCACTGTGTTACTCTAGCAGCACGTATGTGCACTACAGCACCAAGCCAGCCACTGCACCAAGCCAGCCACTGCACCAAGCCAGCCACAGCACCAAGCCAGCCACAGCACCACACAGCACCAAGCCAGCCACAGCACCACACAGCACCAAGCCAGCCACAGCACCAAGCCAGCCACAGCACCAAGCCAGCCACATCACCAAGCCAGCCACAGCACCAAGCCAGCCACAGCACCAAGCCAGCCACAGCACCACACAGCACCAAGCCAGCCACTGCACCAAGCCAGCCACAGCACCAAGCCAGCCACAGCACCAAGCCAGCCACAGCACCAAGCCAGCCACAGCACCAAGCCAGCCACAGCACTAAGCCAGCCACAGCACCACACAGCACCAAGCCAGCCACAGCACCAAGCCAGCCACAGCACCAAGCCAGCCACAGCACCAAGCCAGCCACAGCACCAAGCCAGCCACAGCACCACACAGCACCAAGCCAGCCACAGCACCACACAGCACCAAGCCAGCCACAGCACCACACAGCACCAAGCCAGCCACAGCACCAAGCCAGCCACAGCACCACACAGCACCAAGCCAGCCACAGCACCACACAGCACCAAGCCAGCCACAGCACCACACAGCACCAAGCCAGCCACAGCACCAAGCCAGCCACAGCACCACACAGCACCAAGCCAGCCACAGCACCACACAGCACCAAGCCAGCCACAAGAGGACATTATCGACTTTACTTTGTTATTTTCGTAATCAGGTTCGTTCACTTATGACATTACTTTTTTAATTGGGAATTTTACCCCCCCCCCCCCCCCCCCCCCCCGTCACAAAAAGTCCAACTTCCTCTAAATTATGTCCTCCAAAATTTAATTAAAAGAACATTTCTTTTATATATAAATAAATTAGCATGATGAACCTATATTGATCAATTCTTGTTAAAATATTTACAATTTTCATAACATGTCTTTTAAAATTCAAAATATCCGTAAACACTTTAAAAAATTAATTTTTAATTTGCCATTAAAGTGTGACAACACTTTCACCCCACAATTTCATCCGCTATTCAAACTTCATCTCAAGGGTCCACTTACTCTTCATTCTTCCCATCATCCCACTTAGGAATTGAAGTAGCCTATGTGTTTTCACACCAGCTCTATAAAACTACCCCTCTCCAGCATTGAACAAAATAATTAAACACCCGCATACATACTCAACCTGTCATCTCTCCCTACCTGTTAATTGGCCAACAGAATTTTACAAAAAGGGGTCATCCATAAATGACGTCACGCTTTTTTGGACGATTTTTACCTCCCCCCCCCCATTCCCTTCTGTCACACGTCGTCACAAAAAGCCAGACCCCCTCCTAAAATGATGTCACACCTCAGCCTACAACCCCCACACCCACATCTAACCACAGCTGTGACAGCACAACTGGCATGTCTTCTCTGCTCATGTTTTGGCTCACTGTGGCAGTCCGTCTTCTACCGTCTGGGTTTCACACCGGCTGAAGTAGAAACTGTTCTTGTAGACACTAGATCCAAGTCCGACCTAAAAAACATGGAAGATGTTGAAAAACTCACAATCTGTAACCTGCTGATCAAATGGCACCAAAAACTGGGGAAAAAAGCAACGCTCGGAGTTTTGATAAATCAGTTGGATCTGGTTCATGCTTGCGGTACTACTGTTATTGACTGGAACAAGATCAACTTTATTTTAGACAACGCTTTGCCGTAGTAGATACCAAGAAGATGATAATTGTATATATACTGTATCTATAATCGGATTCTGTGAAATTGTATTACGATGAAACCAACTGCCAGTTTAAGTAATTGGATTTAGTCATGTTATGAGATCCTCGTTTTAGTTATCAATCAAATCCCAAAGCATCTGTGATATTTTTTGTTGACAAGAAAGTTTAAGTTTTTCATCAGATCTTTAAAATCAGCACTCAGATTCATTTTATACATTTAGTATAGCCTTGTTGTAAATATAAGCCTCTATGTATTATAGACTGTGGTGAGACTTTTACATTTTAAAATAAATTATACCCATCGATCAATAAAACATGATTTTAATACATTTTTAAAAATTCTTTAAAAGTCTGGATTTTAAATTGGTTTGAAACAATTATTAGAGCCACATATTACAGTATAAATGTTATTCACTGGTTTTGTGTCTGATGATTTTTGTGCTTGAATGTAAAAAGACAAATATAATATAAATATAATGCATATAATATAAATGTAATATAAATTGAATTGCTTTTATGTCTGAAGCTAAATATGATAAGAGTTTGAAACATTTACAAACATTTACAATGTACAAATATCAACATAGCATTTAAAAAGTTGATTCTCAGATTTCTTTGTGGTATTGAAAGCTTTTTGTGAATTAATGTAATTATTTTAAATATTGTATCTATGATAAGTACTATTTGTATTAT